GCAATACCTTCGTAGCCCGAAATAAGAATTAGTGTCTTTTTGACCAATCCAAAATAAAGCATGTCAAAATCTTTTTTAAATGACCAACTTATATTAACATAAGTAGTAGGATTTTTTATTATTTAAACAGTAATATTGTATATGTAATAATTTAGTTTTCCAAAATGAATTTACTATTTGTCCTTAATTAGTATTCCGAAGGAAATTAAATTATGTTGTTTGCAAAATTTGTTCCTCATATATATCTCACAAATAAAATATTTTTCAAAAGGTCCATTTTGTAATGTAATTACACAACGCAAGAGAGAAGGAAAGGGGGGAGATACACAAAATAATTGAACTCTATGGATAGTTTTAACGTCAAATCAATTGTATATTATTGCCTAATCCTTTATTTCTTTTTATAAATTATTTTTATCAATTTTATCAATATCAATACCAAAAAATATAAGAAATAAAAATATATAAAATTTTAAATATATTTTTATATAATAAAATTAAAAAGTAATGTCATATTATTTTTTTATAAAAGATAATTTTAAAAATATGTTTTAAATATTATTTAAAAAATTATACCATAATTAAATAACAACCTCAAACAAATTTTTTAAAATTTAACTTATAAATCACATAAGAGGGAGTAGTGAATAAAATTCATGAAATTGATGTCAGAAGTGCATGTCACTTTCAATATGATTGTCGCATCATCATCTCTGAGTCATGTAATTGGCGTCATACTAGGACGCTGCATTTTTAATATGATTGAAATTAATAATTAATATAAATTAAAAAGAAAAGAACTTTCTAAACTTAATTTTTAAAAATTTAAATTAAACTGTGACGTGCTTTCGTCACTCCCGATACTTTCCATGAAGAAGCAGAGAGAAAATGACAAAGCCAGAAGTCTTTTGGAAAACCAGAGCCCATCTCAACTTCTCCAGAAGAAACTTGTCTTATTATGTGGAGGGTGGGCGCGCGCGTTCGTCCAGCCGCCTGGGGGTGGCCGAAGAAAAAGTTGAGGTGACAGCACCAACCTTATCATTTCCACTCTGCACAATCTTTTTTTTTTAATATAAAATTTTTTTAAAAAATTAAATATTAAAAAATATAAAATATTTTTAATTTTTTAAAATATAATTATTATTTTTTAAAAATATTCCTATTAATAATAACTTTATATTTATTATAAAATATTTTAAAAAAATAAATATAAAAAAATAAAATTAATTTAATAATAAATAATAATTTTATTGAAAGATGAGATTTGTTTAAAAATACTTTATATTTTAAAAAAAAAATATATTATTTTTCACCGTTATCCCACGTGGCCCCCATGTGCCCTAGTCATCTGGTTGGTACGTAGGAATATCCTATACAAAAAGCAAGGGAAAGACTGACCAGTGGAAATGAGAATGGAATAATAGCTTAAGAATATTTAACTAAAAAAAGAATAGATGACCCAAGTGTTCTTAGAGAAGAATTGATAGTTTTTCCTGTATTCTATCCATGTGCTGAATGGAGGCTGTTTTAATGTTAAATGATCTCGAAACTCATTGGCAGCAAGCTAACTTATTCACCATATATCATATCAAGCATGCAATTCAAGTCATTTTTTGACATGTTAATGAGCTTTTTTGAGTTTGAGGAAAGGTGTTATTTTATTAAATGTAATAAATTATGATTAATTTGTAGATTTCAATTAGGTGCAGTTTCATATTAGTTCTGTTTATGTTGACATATAATTCTTGTTATATATAAAGTTTCATAGGTTGAATTGAATAAAGGAGAGTAACATTTATGTTCTTGATAAAAACGTTTGAAAACTAAATTATAAATATTAATTTAAATAATTATAAACTTAGGAATTCTAATCACAAATAAAATATTTAAGTTTTTTTAATGCAAATCTCAATATATAATTGACATTCTTGTTTGCAATTATTTAAATTAATATTTATAATTAATTTGTTTTCTTAAAAATTATTAGGAAACTAATTATTATTAATTTAATTTTTTTAGAATTTTATTATACTTCATCCGTTAAAAAATATAAAGCATTTTTAATTAAATTTTACTTATAATAAAATAATTATCTGCTTTCAAACTAATACTATCTTTTCATATTTATTTTTATTAAATATTTTATAATAAATATAAAATTATTATTAATAAAAATATTTAAAAAATAATAATAATTATATTTTAAAAAATTAAAATATTTTATATTCTTAAACATTCAGAGAATGTGCCACTGCCCCTTGAATCAATTTATTCCCCACAACTATTTTCGCCCTTGTGCCAGTAGTTTCTGAACTTTGCGTTTTATTAATGATTGCACATGGCCACTTGTCACTTCACCAAAACCCTTCTTTGCCGCGAACCCAAAATGGCCTTTGAGTTGGACTCCTTCGGAAGCACGCCAATTTCTACGACCAAATCTTTCAACTTTCCACAACCAAATTTTTGTTCCCCTCTTGCCGAAACAACGCAGAAGTCGACTCATATAGTTAAGAATCATAGAATTATAAATTGAAACACAAGTTATCTTAAAGTTGCATCACGCACTAACAAAACAGCGCCCATATTCTTCTTCACTCGGAGGATAATTATTAAGAAAATGAGTCATCCTTCTCGGCAAGAGACACAGCTGATGAACATAGAGACTGCTCATCACCATGAAGAAGATTAAATGAGAGTTCTCTATGAAGCATCGTACAAAGGGTGTGTTCCAACCTTGAATTCCCTGCTACAGGAAGACCCAGGAATTTTGCGGAAAATTACCTCACAGACCATCTTCATAGAAACTCCTTTGCACACATCAGCTTCCCATCTCCATTGCCGTCGGTTTGGTCCAAGTGAAAGTCAGGCGTCCGGTCCCCTTCGGCACCATAGGACTGATCTCAATGAAAGTCGGATGTCCTATCCTCATTTAGTCAAATTATCATTGTAGATCAATTAAGCTTTTATGTATTCGGATCAAATTATAAAAGAGTTTGAGTTAAGATTTAAAATAATAAAGATTTAAAAATAATTTCAAATTATAAAAAAATTAAAGAAGAACTTGAATTTAAATTTATACATTTTTAATTATTTAAATAATGAATTTGATTTAAATTCAAATTCATGTATATTCAAATATAGCATAACAGAAAATCAGGTTGATTTTAAAGAAAAATTAAATTTAATTCCTCCTTCTTCCGGTAACTAGCATGAGCAAACTTATCTACCAAAAATCATGTTCATAAATTCAAACTTTAATTTGATTATCCTCATTTACTGCTTTCTAACAGGCATATCGGTTGCAATTTAAGGAGGAAAAATCAAAAACCCGCTTTTAGCTAAATCACAATAATGCACGCACAAACTAGGAGAAGAGTGATGTATCTTGACTCACCGCCAACGAAGTAAAGAAATGAAGAGAAGTTGAAGCTCCTCAACTCCAGTACATTCGCGGCAGAACAGGGGAAAATTTTCCAGCCACGCAACAGTGGAGGAAGATGAAGTTGACAGCGCTAAAGAGGGAAGAAGATCTTGAATCACCCACGCAACAACACGGACGAAGATGAAGAGAATGATGGCTGCATGAACAAAGAGGAAGAGGGAGATGAATGATGAGCGACGCGTGCAAAGAAGGGAAGACGGAAACAGGGAAGGTGAAGAAGAAAGCTCACAACAGCACCCCCCATGGCAGAGCACAACCAGAAGAAGAGGAAGGAAGATTCACGTACATCCTTGATGGCCGAAGATCAGGAGGATGTAGGAAGAGGAAAATGGTCTCGCAAGCTTTGGAGAGTTCGAAAATGCAGAGGGAGAAGGGATCGACAGTGAAGCATTAACAAGGAGTAAGTAAACTGACTTTGAACGACTTCCTTGCCGCAGCAAATCTCCCGGCGAACTGAACACCCACGCCGACGACCAACTGGAATGGAGGAGGCTATCAAAGGACGGAGGATGCCGTAGACACGTTGAAATCAGAGAACAGCGGAGGCGGTGGTTTCTGGATTATTCTCTCTCTTTCCTTTTGTGTAAAACGCGTCATTGGACCAGGGACAAATGATTAAATCTGATGGTGCCAAGGAGCTTTTGGTAATTTTATAAAAGTTGAAAAGTCAAAAAAATAACCCCACTCTTACTGCCTTAGGATTCGAAAATTGAAACCTTAAATTTAATATAAAAAATACTTGCCTCTAAACCATCAGTTTTAGGTTAAATAATTCAATTAATTTTAATTTAATTTTTTTATAGATTTTTTTTTCCTGAGTTATTACACACTTGCAAGTAAGGCAACATTTTTTATATATTTGTGAAGGAAGAAAACTGTCTATTCATGGTCCCACCCATTTGGAAGCACTAGCTAATTAATATTTTAAATTAATAATAATACTGATAAGCATCACATGGGTCTATTCTAGTGATATATATTATCACGCAAAAGTCTTCGAAATTCAAAATACGCACCAGGCCAAGATCAAAGATGGTTAATATTCTTACAAGCTGACAACAACCACCCTAAAATCTTCATTTTGCATTTAAGATCATCTACAGCAAGCATGCGTGTTTTGTTCATCGTAACTCATTTCTCTCCTCGTACTTAATCTCATCCTTGCGACTTCATCAACGAAGCATGTTTTGTTCCAGATGAAGATGGAAGAATTCTTAGACAATATATGCTGCTATGAAGAGGGAAAAAACAGGTTTTGTAGTAAGAGTTGATCAAAGCGAATAATGCTAAGAAAAAACAAAGTTGACAAGTCCAGTTTATTCACATAAATTATATTAATTATGACCTTAAAAATGGGTAGTTTTGGTTTACATTAAGAAAAAAGATGTATTTCCTCTCAGGCAATCCTTTATGTGCAGTTTTAGAACATCAAGCCCAACCAAGGAAGAAAAGGCCCAAAAACCGCATCTCCTGCCGTGGACAACTAATGGCTAAAGTCCCATATCCGGTCGCGGGTTCATCTCAAAACGTACAATTCATGCCATGGTTGTCACTCGAAACTCACAGATAACCCTCTCGTTCAACTTCAGCCAGCGGAAGCCACTCTTCTGTCAAACTTGGAAGTTTTGCGAAACCCTATCATCCACTCTCTCTGGACAGTCAACGTAGATAACTTCAACCGCCAGACATGAAGAATGATTGTTTTGTCCTTCACATACTTGAAAACGGATTGAGAAAGCATGGTGTTCGTCCACCGACGGATAGGTGCACAAAGCTGCTGGAGAACTTGGTGCCCAGTCATGCATGTAATTGGCGTAAAAACCTCATTTAAATTAGAATTTATAATTCTCGTAAAACAAGATAAACGTAAGAAATCTTGCGGAACTATGAAAGTTGAACACTTTTCTTGTTAATATTTGAAACTCGAGGGCACAGCAGTAGCAGCAACGTCAACTGTACGGTTATTAAGAACACAACAAACAAGTTACAGAACATGCGATAACAATGATCTATGAGACGACCCTGATGTTCGCCATTACTAGAAGAACAAATTAAGACAAACATTTGACTTCATGTATTTTCGTATCCCATTATCTTTGGACGAGTTGATATCTGACGTTTTCTTCTCATTTTTCACGAGCCAATAGAGGAAGCGCAACGTGATGAACACAGCAACAACCCCTAGAAATCCAATCCAACACATAAGTGACACATGAAACATTCTCCTGGCTGAGTCAAAAAGTTTACCGCTTGGAGTCACCACGTAGAGGCCTTGAAGATATGTGAGTGATAAAAATGTGAGGGTGATGCACATGCCAATCGATAACATCCATATCACAGCTTTATGCTTCAGAGGAACTCCACTTACAAGCAAGAGAGCGACACTGAGAGATCCGATAAAACAAACGGTATTGTACTTCATATAGGGGTGAAGATAGTCTTCGAATGTAATGGCGGATACTGAATCTCCAGGACATGTCCTGTAACCATTTTCAGACAAGCATCCGAAGGGATCCTCATTATCTGAAAGTATGCCTTGTTGAACGAAACCACCTGGAGGGTTAATCATAGCTTGAAAGCTTATGGTTGAGATCATTGTAGCCACGAGACTCAAATTCCCCCTCATCTCTTCCAACCAATTAGAATTGTTTTGTTCCATAATCATCCCTAAAATCTTTCTCCAACCCTTCTCTGGAGTAGTTTTTGATGGCGGAGGCTGAGGAGGTCTTACCATTTGGCTCTTTTCCTTAAATTTGATGCCAGATTTCATCAACATGAGTTGGATTTGAAAGGTTTTAAAGTCTTTCAAATCGTCAGTAACGACGTCCATCTCATTCTCCAAGCATGCAGCTCCTCTTATGTTCAGGAATTGAAAGGAGGTACCTCACGGTCTAAATTAAAGTTGAAAACATGCAAGTCAGTGAATTGTTTACTGTCAATATAAGCAAATATTAATTGAATAATTGGTTCGCAGAACAATTTACCTCGACTTGCTTCAACCTGATAGCCAAATCAAGAACGGTCTTTTCATCCTGGTCTTTCAAATGGGGAAGATCATTGGAGCCAATATTCAATTCCACCAAAGCTTTTAGGATCTCCAAGTGGTTGTATGTGACACACAAGTGGAAAATGGTTTTCCCTTTGTCGAGAATCCCCCGAGTCTCAGGCTTCGCTCTGATAAGCTCTATCACAACCTCTAGTCTCCGTCTTATGACAGCATAGTGCAATGGAATTCTTCCTTCTTGATCACGAACCAAGCATGCCTGATCAAAAGCTAGCAGCAGCTCCTTCACAATGTCAATGCGACCTTCTGCAGAAGCTAAGTGGAGGGCAGTGCCCTGGAAGGAGTCCAATTCATGGGCAAGTGTGGGTTTAAGAGCAAGAAGGGCTTTGGTGAATTCAAGGTGGCCAAGTAAAGGTGATATGTGTAAAGGAGTTTCAACAAAGGGTGTTCGTGAGCAAATTTTGTGCAAGATTAGTGGGTCTTGCTTTGTCAGTGAGTTCAAGATTAGAACATTCCCTTTGTATGATGCATCGTAGAGGATTCTTGTTTTCTCATCTTCATCATGGCGAGCAGTTTCCATTTTCACAAGCTCCATTATATCTTGCGAGAAAAAGTTATCACTCAATTATGCTCACCAAGTGGAGAAGAATGGACTTGTGTAAACAATGCATATTGTTTAAATGTTTGAGATGATATTGTGCTCCAATTTATATTTGCAACCTCTCGCCCGCCCTGATAGGATTCTTTCATGCATGCATTTTTCTTTTCTTTTTTTTTGGCATGATCTTCCACGTATTTTTCTAGTTACTTATTAACTTCTGCTTAGTTTAATTTCAGTTTGATTTGAATTTTCTTTTGGAAGACCTTTCCCGGACGCATCAGTTTGATCAATTCAACATGTTGTGTGCTTACGTTAATCCACAAATTTTCCGGAATGCTTATAGCTCCTCCAAAATTATTTTTGGGCAAACTGATTATATTTTTTAAAATTAAAAATTCATAACTCACATGTAAACTTTTAATTCTATTTTAGACAAGAATTAGATACTTAACCTTTATAATTAATGTACTTACATCCAATCAAATTAAAACAATTAAGTCTTAATGTGTTTAGAATATTGATAACAAGATTTTGTTGTCAAATAAATAATATATAAACAATCCACATACCTTGATTAAATTAAAAACAAACTCCTTAAATATATAGAGTTAAGTATATTAGTTTTTCCGTTCAATTCTTTTCAGAAGTAACTTTATTCATTATTTTACTTCAATTTTTAAATGATTAATTATTTACAATGAATATGTGTGCTTGTTGCTTCTGGCCTGGCCAAGATAAAAATGTGATTGTTGCTTGGTATCCAACCGACAAACCGAATCAATGCTCATCGCTATGTACAGACACAATTTTTTTTTTTTTGGATGAACGACACAAGTTTTATTCTCATATATGTCTCAACCTATGGCACTTTGAAAGGCGACTCCACCATTTAGTCATGACTAGGAATAAAAATAGTTGCCACACATGGCTAATATATTATTTTATAATAAAACTGCAAGTTGATACGTTGCATGTGAATTACTATACTATCTATTTGCACGGATAATACGGTCCTCTATTCATTTGGGCAAGAAGGAAAATACGGAGCTTGTTCTGGTACACACAACTCCGCAGGAAAAGACAAATTTGAATAATTATATTCAAATTTGAAATATATTTTATGACACTTTGTAGTCTATATCCATCTCTGGATACGATGCACTTTCCAAAAAAACGAGGTGTAAATGCAAATAAGTTCAAACCCACGAAGAAGAGTTTGATACGCCCTAGCTATTCTGCATCCGCCTAGGGCATTGACTTTTGTCTAATAATTTAATAACTAAGGCAACCAACTCTGTGAGGTTGTATATCTTGTTCATATCTTTTTGGCCGAGAGAAAAAGAAAAAAGCAGACACGCAAAATTAGCATGAAAGTACGTCTTACATTTTAAATAAAATTAATTAATGTTTTCATTGGCAAAAAAATGTAGTAATAATTTCTTTATCTCACTCCCTCTTATTTTATTTATAATTATTTTCAATATTTTTAATTTAAACCTATTAACTTTGAGGATAATAAATCTTTTAATCTCTCAAATTTCTCTCAGTAATTAATTTAATCCTTCAAGTTTAATTTTTATCAATTTAATTTTTTATATTTTCTAAAGTTATTATGTTAATCCTTTAAATTTTAAAAAATAAATTAACTTTTAAAATAATCTAATGTGAAAATATATTAATGACTTGATATGTATATATAGCTAAATGAAAATAAATTAATCCTTAAATTAGTTTCATTTTTTGTCAATATAATCCCTTAAACTATATTTTATTCTCTTGTTTTTTTAAAACTTCATAGTCTATTTCTCTCTTACTAAATAATTATATTTTTTTTTCATTAATTTACATGGTTGTTATCAAAATTCTGTAATCTATGTCAGCAAATTTTACTAGTGTTATCTCCTTTTTAAACAAAAAGAATCAAATTGATAATTAAAGTAAACTTAAAGGACTATATCGATAAAAACTAAACTTTAGGAACTATATCAATAATTGAAACAAATATCAGGGACTACAAGTTGTGTTATCCCTTAACTTTGTTTAGAAATTCAACAGTTTTTTAATTTTATTCCTATTAAATATATACTTTAACAATCAAATACTATAATATTTGATAATCTTCTCAACATTTAATAAGAACAGAAGGATAAAAATGAATACAATAATCATTGAGGTGTCTTTAAAAGTAAAACCGAAATAAATACTTTTTTTTATTTTATAAATAGAGCAGTAGAGTATATCGTAATCATAAGACTTCCATCTCATAACTTTATAGGATTTTCAATATGTAAGTAAATTAATTGAAAACAATAATTTCAATTAAACTAATTCGAATATTCCAACTTATTTTTCAGCGTTATTTATGGTTTGCAAGTGAATAGGGACGTTTTGATTAATGATTTTTTCCTTATTACATTATCCATCAACTTGCCTTGGTTTTATATATGTGGTCCCCCTCTAGCTTTCCCTGCCCAAAAACAAAACGACGTGGGAGGACCATGTAACCAATGCACAAGGGACAAGCAAGCTACCTGAGCTAGAATCCTAAATTAATTCATTCCAGTTATGTTACTTGTATAGAAGGATTAAGAAGAGCTTTCTTATTCTTCGTATATATGCTTGATAAACTATATTATTATACGTTTTGCACTGCAATTTCTCAAACTATGTACTCTAGTCTCAATTTAACGAATTGATTGTTCAATTAGAAACTGACTTTTTTTTGGAAGAAAAGTAGAATTGATCGATAATTACCAATGATAATGGTAGGAAATAAATTAGAAGATGCGAAGAGTGTTGACGAGGAAATCTCCGGATAATTGAATAGTTGTGATACTAATAAAGTAAAAAGATTATTCATGAATGTCAAGAAGATTAAAGGGAAAACAATAACGTAAGAACAAATTAACGATAATGAAAACTAACCTGCCATTCATCAGTTCAACAAATGACAATTAATCCTCTTATGGCTGACTTATAAAGGGGGGAAAAACTCACCAACCCCTTTGCAATTTGTCAAGAAAAAAATTAACATTTCATTCATCAATTCAACAAACTTTTTAAATAAGTCATTTTTAATATAACTCATGGGAATCAATGAGACATGTTTAAGTTATAAGTAATCTAGCCTTTCCTTAGTTTTATTTAAATTATAACCAATATTAATATCAAATAGTATGAATAATAGTTTTAAAATACAAACATCATCTCTATTTTTAAGATTTTATTTTCATTTATATCTAACTGTTAGTTGATAGTTAAGTTACATGTATTAGACCAAAACATCCTATTTTTAAATATAAATATTTTTTAAAAATAATTCAAATTACCCAAAAAATTAATGCATATATTATTTACTTTTTAGCAAAATGGAAGGGAATCACTGTTTTTTACTCTTGAACTATTGATGTTGTCTAAAAAATTTCTTAGTTTATTCTGATTAAATATATCATCTTCAAAATATTTTTTTCTCTCTTGTATAATATTTTACTCTATTTATAGAAAATTGCAAGCTGGTAAGATTGAAGAAAATAATTAATTATCCATTTTTTTCATATGAAGTGATTTATAAAAATATTTAAAGAAAAATATTTTACACATCACACGGGTAAATTAATTGCTGGCTGTCATCAATTTATACATGAAGTTAAATACAAATATTGTTTTTCATTCGAATTTGGTCTCCGGGTCAACATAAGAACAAATGTATGCATTGCTAAAAATTAGATTTATTCTTTATATTATCAATGCATAGAAGAGGTATGTTTCCATTTTTTTTAAAAAAATGGTTTTTCATTTTAGTAGGATGACCTTGAAAACTTGAAGCAAAAAATATTAATAAGGATGAGATGGGTGAAGATGGGGATGAGATGGTATTGAAAATATCAAGTTACTAATCAGACAGGTTATTAAACTAATCAAAAGTAATAGTTTAAGCATTAATGATGATTAAATTCATAGTCAAATCATGATCAGAGCAATATACATATAGTAGAGAGGCAATACAGTAATTTTGACAACAAAATAGGACGGGGATTTATTATTTATTATTTAACAGTTTATCAATTTAATCAATCAGCTAGATTGATCTAGATTTCAACACTACGTAAAACATTCAAGCCACGCACCATTCATTAAATATTCAAGAGTAATACACCAAGAAAATTAACAGTAATTAACCATCGCTCTAAAGTGAAAAAAAAAACTGAAAAGAAGCTGTGCGTGTATATATATATATATATAACCCTGAGACGTAGTAATTGATGATTGAGACGCTTCCATCCCTGTTGCTCAGCCACTTGTGTTACGTTTCTTAGCGGCCGATGCATACAGCAATATAGATAAGGCATCCATCAACAATCCAAGCGGGTTGTGGATAGGATTCGGTCATAGCGGTGGCCCTTGCCATCCGGGGTGATAACGTCGAGGCTGACCAAATAGGCTTTAAAAATCAATGTGAGACTTGAAATCTGTCATTTAAAACCGGACGGTTGCGGTCGGCCCAGCCCGGCCCTTGCCGGCCACCTTATTGGCTCATATTTTAGCTTTGGACTGATTGAAGAGTTGGACTAAATTGAACCACTCACAAGAGTTAGAAAATTTTATTATGAGGACTAAGGCATGTATAACAAAACATATATGATAATTGAAAAAAAAAATCTACATATATAAATAATATAACATAAATATTTTAATGTATATATCTATATTCAATTTATACACGCACATATATAAATAAAAATAAATAAATACCTTATTTTTAAATTTTTTTCATCAATTTTTCATAATATAAGAATAATTAATTATCATATTTATGATAAAATTTCAATACTTTCTCAATATAAACTGTCATTAAATTGGCACCATGAGAATAATTTAAATGTATTTTTAAAATCTAAAATTTTATTCAGTCTAAAAAACTCTATTACTTACTTATTAAATTTACTATTTAATTCTTCAATAATTGATAATTGTAATAAATAAATATATTAACATGATAATGATGCTCAATTGTCACAAATTCTTTATGTTGATCAAAGTATATTATAGTAA